CGGCGGCGTCTCCCGCTCCCCTTCTCCGCTCCTCCTCATCCAGCGGCCGTAAAGCGAGGCCGGGCTTCCTGTCAGGCTGCAGGCCGCTTTCTCAGCGCGAGCGGGGAGGGGGGGGGAGAATTGGGGTGCGCGCGCGACGTTTCGCGACCTCGCTTTGCGGCCGGCCCGCTGGGAATGGATGTGAAGGAATTGAAGGGGAGGAAGGAGGGAGCGCGCGGCGGGGAGCGGGGTTCTGAGGGGGCGTGGCCTCGCCGGAAATAGTCCCCTCCCCTCGGTTTGAGGAACAGCTCGCGACACTCGCTTGCTTTACGGCTGTCCCTCGGGGAGGGCGAAGCCCGTCCCGTCCTCTTTTCTTATCTCTATGGTCAGTGAAAGAGAAGGAGCCCCCCCCCCCCGGCCCGCCACTTTTTTTTTTTTTTTTTTTTTTTGGTCGTGCCTTTACGGAGCCGGCCGCCGGCGCAGGCGCAGATCGGAGCGGGGCCGAGGAAGAGGCGGGGTGAAGCGGAGGGAAATAATAGGAGGAGAAGGGGCGGGGCCGGATTAGTGCAGGAGGCGGGGTTTAGGTGACCCCCTCCTCAGAGCGGTTGTTGTGGGACCGCCCCCTTTTTTCGTACACGTGTCTGCGTGTGCACACGTATGCCCAACACATTTATGATACCTCATCCAAGACTCCCTGAGTAAGTGTAGCAGCCATGTAGGGTTGTCAACCTCCAGGTGCGAGCTGGAGATCTCCTGGAATCACAACTGATCTCCTGACTACATATAGATTTAGGGTGACCATATTCTGAAAAGCCAAAAAGAGCACATTTCCCCCCCACTGACTACTTCAAACAAATGATTGCTGTGAAAAATCTAATTTGAAGGAAACCCCCCCCCCCCCATTTCAGACACTGATCATTGCTAGGATCTAGGAATATGCTTCATCTTCCAACCCAGAAAGAGGGGCATTTTCATCAGTTTTTTTTAGAAGAGAGACCATAAGAGGGTGGACACCAAAAAAAGAGGACATATCCTCTAAAAAGAGGACATCTGGTAACCAATGCTCCCTCTGAGCTGTGGAGCCTTGTGAGCAAAAGTTCTACTTTGCCAGCGACTGGCACTAAAGTTGTGAGTGAGCAATGTGGCTACTGCATCAGTTAGTTTGCTCTGGAGCCCTCCTTCCTGAGCTAAGACAAAAATGTGTGAGCCAGAGGCTAAAAAACTGAGCTACCTCACACTAACTCAGCTTAGAGGGAACATTGCGGGTAACCAATGCTCCCTCTGAGCTGTGGAGTCTTGTGAGCAAAAGTTCTACTTTGCCAGCGACTGGCATTAAAGTTGTGAGCGAAGCGAGTTGGCTGCTGCAGAAATTAGTTTGCTCTGGAGCCCTCCTTCCTGAGCCGAGACAAAAAGGTGTGAGCTCACACTAACTCAGCTTAGATGGAACACTGCTAGTAACCCTATTGTTTATGTATTATTTATTTATTTATGTCGTCTCCGGATTACATAACAACGTTTCAAAAAATGGATCTTCTTCAGGAGATATTATAGTGGTGCCAAAGCTCTCAGTTTCATACCAGTAGAAACATAGCAGCATATTTTGAGCCTGAATGTTAATTGAGATCAATGTCCTATCTGAATTTAATATTCTTAAGAGTTGTTGTCTAACATTTATGAAACTGAGAGCTTTGGCACCACTATAATATCTCCTGAAGATCTATTTATGGAACATTGTTATGTAATCCAGAGACGACTTTGATTATGTACCTTGGTTCAAGGATCTTCTATTGAGTTGTGCATCATGTTGTAGTGCTTTAGATTGCAATACATAAACAGCATTCTTTATAAGTCTTATGACTGTTTGATTGTGGGTCAGACTATCACGACTGTTGGCTTTATACTTGTTTAACTGGCCATTGTGTGAGACAGGATGCTGGACTGGATGGACCAGTGGTCTGACCCAGCAGGGCTCTTCTGATGTTCTTAACATGTGAAACATGTTTTATTGTGCTTGTGTGTGTATGAATGTACGTATACACAAACATATACATGCGTAACACATTACAATTCCAAAACATATGCAGTTGTATAATCACACACAGACACGCACTGTGTAGTTTCCTGTTTCCACTAGTGCTCCCTATGCGCTTGGTAACAGCACATTCTGTCCCTCATGTGCAGACATAAATCAACTAGTCCATCTGTGCTCACTTTGCCAATTCAGGACTCTTCCTTTTCATCTTTTGCTGTTTACATGATACCACAGAAGTCCAAAAACATAGAGATTTATAGACAGGGTCAAAAGGATATTTACTTCCCTGGCGATCGGAAATCCCATACACGAAACTGTTGCCAACTCTGGTTTGGGAAGTTCCTGGAGGTTTGGGGGAGGAGCTTTGGGTGGGTGGAGTTTGGGGAGGGAGCTCCGCGGGTATGCAATTACATTGAACACAAGAACATAAGAGAGAAGCCAATGCTGGATCAGGCCAAAGGCCCATCCAGTCCAACACTCTGTGTCACACAGTGGCCAAAATCCAGGTGCCATCAGGAAGTCCAGCAGTGGGGCCAAAACTCCAGAAGCCCTCCCACTGTTGCCCCTCCCCCCAAGCACCAAGAATACAGAACATCACGTGGCCAGCTTGGGAGCCAGCCGGAACTCCGTTCTTGTGCGTTCCTGCCCCAAAATAGCCCTGGTAGGACCTGACGTTTTGCCAGCAGGTGTGACTGGCATCCTCAGAGGTATAACACAGTCTGTAATGATGCCAGTCAGAGCTGCTGGCGAAACGTCAGGTCCTACAATGCCAAGACCACGGCCACACGGCCCGGAAAATCTACAACTAATGAAGTCAGGCTGTGAAACCCTTCGACAACATAGCTTTGAAAGGGGATTAGATAGCTTCATGGAGGAGAAGTCTACCAGTGGCTACTAGCCATGGTGACTCAGGGAACCTCCACATTCAGAGGCACTAATCCTCTGAATCCCAGAGCCAGGAGCCAACGTCAGGGGAAGGCCTCGGCCTCTGTGCCCAACTTGTAGACTGTCCAGAAGAACTGGTTGGCCACCAATGCTCCCTCTAAGCCGTGGAGTCTTCTGAGCAAAAATTCTACTCTGTGAACTACTGGCATTAAAGTTGTGAGCGAGCGATTTGGCTACTGCAGAAATCAGTTTGCTCTGGAGCCCTCCTTCCTGAGCTAAGGCAAAAATGTGTGAGCCAGAGGCTAAAAAAACTGTAAGCTAGCTCACACTCACTCGGCTTAGAGGGAACACTGGACCCGACCAATGCTCCCTCTAAGCTGTGGAGTCTTGTGAGCAAAAATTCTACTCTGTGAACTACTGGCATTAAAGTTGGGAGTGAGCGATTTGGCTGCTGCATAAATTAGTCTGCTCCGGAGCCCTCCTTCCTGAGCTAGGACAAAAATGTGTGAGCGGGAGGCTAAAAAACTGTCAGCTAGCTCACACTAACTCAACTTAGAGGGAACGCTTTTGGCCACTGTGTGAGGCAGGATGCTGGACTCCATGGACCACTGATCTGATACAGCAGGGCTATTCTTACGTTCCTACATTCTTAACATTTGGCGGAAGTTAGAGCTGAATTTTCTCTTCGCCTCACCTTCCCTAAAGTTTCGTCCAGTGTTCGGCCACATTCTTCCGGATCCCCACGTGACCTCCGATTTCTAGGAACTGATGAGGCCGCCTGTATATTGGTCAGCGGGCAGGCGTATCCATTGCTTTGGGCTTGGTTCTTCTCATACAGGAGGCCAGCCAGGGAGTCCCACTATTTTTCGTCGGCCCTACATCGCCGAGTGGCCTGGGCCACCAAATCGTATTCTGGGACGTTCTGCCAGAACACCCGATCTGAAAGAAACTCGGCTTAGCCACTCTGGGCTGTGGAGGCTGCGTTCTCTCTCCTTGAAGTCACAAAGCTCCACAGTGATGTCAGAACGGGCAGCCCAAACAGCGGGCGGCCGTGCAGCAAATGCGTGGGAAGGAGGTGGTCACAGTTACGGGCCATTCTGCATAGCAGCCCCAACTGGAAGCACACCTCTCTAAGCCCACTGACGTTCTGTTTGGTGTACTGGTTAAGTGCGCGGACTCTAATCTGGGAGAACCGGGTTTGATTCCCCACCCCTTCACATGCAGCTGCTGGTGTGACCTTGAGTCAGTCACAAGTTCATTCAGAGCTGTTCTTTCAAGGGCAGTTTCTGTCAAGAGCTCATTCAGCCCCACCGACCTCACAGGGTGTCTGTTGTAGGGAGGGGAAGGGAAAGGAGTCTGTAAGCCGCTCTGAGACTCCAAAGTGAAGGGCAGGCTATAAATCCAATCTCCTTCTCCTCTTCTTCCTCTTCTTCCTCTTCTTCCTGTTCTCTTCCTCCTCCTCGCCTCTTCCTCCTCCTCTTCTTCTGTTCTTCCTCCTCCTCCTTCTCCTCTTCCTCCTCCTCTTCTCCTCCTTCCTCCTTCCAGCTCCTGCCAACCTAGCAGTTCGAAAGCAAGAAATTGCAAGTAGATAAATAGGGACCACTTTGGTGGGAAGGTAACAGCGTTCCGTGCGCCTCGGTGTTTAGTCATGCCGGCCACACGGCCACGGAAACGTCTTCGGACAGCACTGGCTCTTCGGCTTTGAAACGGAGATGAGCACGGCAACCCTAGAGTCGGACTCGACTGGCTTTCGAGCAAGGGAACCTTTACCTTTACCTTTTTACTAGCACTTTAGGGTAGTGATTTATGGATTTTAGGATAACCAATCTGTTTTGGTTTGATTAGTTATGGCCCCATTCACATGGAGGATTTGCTGCCCTAAAGGAATGAATGTCAGGCAGATTTTCGGGACACGATCACACCGCAACATGTGGGAAGTG